AATGGGGGCAGCCTGTGGGTGTGGTGTGTGACATGCTGTGCCCTGGCCATAGGGACAGCCTGTGGGTGCGGGGGTGTGTGTGTGAGACACACTGTGCACTGGCCACAAGGATAGCCTGTGGGTGTGGGTGTGTGAGACACGCTGCACCCGGGCCGGGGGGTCGGCCCGTGGGTGCGGGGGCAAGTGACACGCTGTGCCCGGGCCGGGGGGGGGCGGCCCGAGGGTGCGGGGCGGGTGTGACACGCTGCGCCCGGGCCGGGGGGGCGGCTCGTGGGTGCGGGGCAGGTGTGACACGCTGCGCCCGGGCCGGGGGGGCGGCCTGAGGGTGCGAGGGGGGGAAGTGACACGCTGTGCTCGGGTGGAGACGCGGGAGTGACACGGGAGAGGAAGGGAGGGAAGCAGCGACTCCCCGGCCGGGAGCTCCGCAGGGGCGGGGAGGGGGGCGCCTTACCCGCGACGTGGGAGGGAAACGCGCGGCCACACCAGCCCACTGGCCGCACCGGCACCCTGCCCGGACCGCCATGGCCACAACGCTGCCGCACCCTCGGCCTCCGCCGAACTACTGGAGTGAGGGCCTCCTCCTGGGACCGTGGGGGCACGCGGAAGGGGCGGGGCTTGAGCTCAGCCCTGGCCCCGCCCCCTCTGGTCTCCTGACTCCTGCGCGGGGCGGAAAGGAGGGAGAGTCACGTGCTCGCTCTAGGGCGGTGGGGAGGAGCTTCCCCTCGCTGGGGCTGCGCGCGCCTCACTCACCTGAACCTCCCCCCCCCCAGCGGCTTAGCGGAGACGGGGTCAGGCTTGGGCCTGTGCGAGGGCAGCAGGGATCGCAGGCACTGGGGCGCACACCCTTTTTCACCCGTCACCGATAATTATTATTTATTGGTGAAATGTTACCCATTTAAGCGCCAGCGGTGCCCAAGTAGCTAGCAGGAGCCTGACGCAGACTGGATCAGCCTCGTGTCCGCCTGTCTGTCCACTCCCAACCCTGTCTACACACAGACACAAGTTCTCTAATACAGGCACAGGCTGAGGCTCAGGCCTTGGCTACACTTGCGAGTTGCAGCACTGTAAAGCTGCCCCCAGCGCTGTAACTCACTCCCCGTCCACACTGGCAAGGCATTTGCAGCGCTGCATCTCCATGGTTGCAGCGCTGCATGTACTCCACCTCTCCGAGAGAAATAGCGAGTATTGCGCTGCCGCTGCGGCGCCAGTGTGGCCACCCAATGCGCTGTGAATGGCCTCCAGAATTATTTGGCAGTATCCCACAATGCCTGTTCTAGCCACTCTGGTCATCAGTTCAAACTCTACTGCCCTGGCCTCGGGTAACCAACCATGTGACCCACCCTTTACATTCCCCGGGAATTTTAAAAATCCCCTTCCTGTTTGCTCAGCCCGGCGTGGTGTGGAGTGCTATCAGCGAATCTTTCCAGGTGACCATGCTTCCACGTGCCAAGCGAGCCCCAGCATGGAGCAATGGCGAATTGCTGGACCTCATCAGTGTTTGAGGGGAGGAAGCTGTACAGTCCCAGCTGCGCTCCAGCCGTAGAAATTACAATATCTTCGGGAAGGTATCAAAGGACATGATGGAAAGGGGCCATGACCAGGACGCCCTGCAGTGCAGGATTAAAGTGAAGGAGCTGCGGCATGCCTACCGCAAAGCCCGCGATGCAAACGGCTGCTCGGGTGCCCCCCCCCCCCCCGCGACCTGCCGATTCTACAAAGAGCTGGATGCGATACTTGGGGTTAACCCCACCTCCACTCAGAGCACCACCATGGACACTTCAGAGCCGGTGCGGGGGGAAGGGAGGAGGAGGAAAACGGGAGTGATGGTGGTGGGCCGGATGAAGACACCCCGGAATCCCTGGACCCATGCAGCCAGGAGCTCTTCTTGAGCCAGGAGGAAGGTAGCCAGTCGCAGCGGCCGGTGCTTGGTGGAGGACAAACAAGAGCAGGTTCCCGGTAAGCGGGGTTTTTTTTCGGGAAGGAATTTTTTCGGTGCGGGCTCTTTGGGAGAGGAGGGTTAGGCATGCATGCCTAGATGCGGAATAGTGGATTGATGTGGTTTATCACATCACGGATCGGCCTCGGTAATCTCCTTGAATGTCTCATCCAGAAAGTGTGCAATGCGCTTGCGCAGGTTTATCGGGAGAGCCACTGTGGTCCTTGTCCCAGCCAGGCTAACGTGTCTGCGCCACTGTGCCGCGAGGGGCGGGGGGACCATTGCTGCACACAGGCAAGCTGCATGTGGGCCAGGGTGGAAGCCGCATTGCAGTAGAAGACCCTCCCTTGCTTCCCAGGTCACCCTCAGCAGCGAGATATAGTTCAGGACGAACTCCTGTGGAAAATGTTGGGACAGTGTTCAGTGTAGGTGCCCCCTGAAGCTGTTGGCTCTCCCCAAGGCACAGAAACCCAGAGGACAGTGCAGCCCTGAAACAATCAGTCCCCCTTAGTCACCATTTTGAGGCTCCCGTGGGATGTGTGTGCTCTGTTTCGGACGGGAAAATTATGCTATTGTGTAGACCCTGTGTGTTTTCTACTCCTTAAGTGTGGGGAAAATCATTACTCTGGTATAAACAATGCTGCCTCTGTTAAATGATGCATTTTGCCTATACAGCTGCATCAACCTTGAGACCTCAGCCGTTCCTCTTATCGCCTGCTCAGAGACTGCAAAGACTCAGGAAGAGACCGCAAAAAAGCAAAGAAGACATGCTGCAAGAAGTGATGCGGCAATCTATTAAAGAGAATGAGAAAGCACAGAACTGGAGGGAGAGAGAAAGCAGGATCCGCCAGGAAAATGCAGCGCACCGGCGGCAAAGCACCGGCAGCAAAGCACGGATCGGCTCATAAGCATCCTGGAGCGCCAAGCAGACGCTATCCAGGAGCTCGTCGCCATGCAGAAAGAGGAGCAGTACCGCAAACGCAAACGCCACCCCCCCAACAGCCCTTGTTCCAAAACTCTTTCCATTGTGCCCCACTGTCACCTCCAACCCACTTTCCCCAATTTCCATGTTCTTCATGCCGCCCGCTGCCTCCAACACCAGTATCTTCACCACCCAGCCCTGAAAACCACGACCCTTACCCTCTGCACTCAACCCCCATCACCATGCAGCATAACTATCCTGAAGTGCAGCACTCACTGCACAGCACACCAGACAGGACATACACGAATCTGTGATTGTACCGTTTCCCCACTCCACCCCCTTGTTTCTTTTCAATAAATAATTTTTTTCTTTTCAATATATGGATTTTTTGGCTTTGAAAACATTCTTTATCATTGCATAAAGTAAAAGACTCCTTAGCACAGGAAATAAACAGGCACGGCAAGTCTGCTTGTCTGCTTAGCAAACACTGATTCCTAAAGATTGGAACTACTGCACTTCACTCCCGTGCAGGGCACCAGATATCACTGCTGGTTTTCAGCCTCAAATTGCTCCCTCAAGGCATCCCTAATCCTTGCAGCCCCGTGCTGGGCCCCTGTAATAGCCCTGCTCTCTGGCTGTGCAAATTCAGCCTCCAGGTGTTGAACCTCAGAGGTCCATTCCTGAGTGAAGCTTTCACCCCCTCCCTTCACAAATATTATGGAGGGCACAGCACACAGATATAACCGCGGGAATGCTGTTTTCGGCCAAGTCCAGCTTCCCATACAGAGATTGCCAGCGGGCCTTTAAACGGCCAAAGGCACACTCTACAGTCATTCGGCACCGTCTCAGCCTGTAGTTGAACTGTTCCTTGCTGCTGTCAAGGCTCCCTGTGTAGGGTTTCGTGAGCCACGGCATTAATGGGTAAGCGGGATCTCCAAGGATCACAATGGGCATTTCAACTTCCCCTACCGTGATCTTCCGCTCTGGGAAAAAAGTCCTGGCCTGCATCTTCCTGAACAGCCAAGTGTTCCGAAAGATGCGTGCATCATGCACCTTTCCAGGCCAGCCTGTGTTAATGTCAATGAAACGCCCACGGTGATCCACAAGCGCCTGGAGAACCATAGAGAAATACCCCTTCCGATTAACGTACTCGGATCCTAGGTGGGGTGGTGCCAGAATAGGAATGTGCGTCCCATTTATCGCCCTTCCACAGTTAGGGAACCCCATTTGTGCAAGCCATCCACTATTTCCTGCACGTTACCCAGAGTCACGGTTCTTCTGAGTAGGATGCGATTAATGGCCTTGCAAACTTGCATCAACAAGATTCCAACGGTCGACTTTCCCACTCCAAACTGGTTTGCGACCGACCAGTAGCTGTCTGGAGTTGCCAGCTTCCAGATTGCAATAGCCACCCGCTTCTCCACTGGCATGGCAGCTCTCAATCTCGTGTCCTTGCGCCGCAGGGTGGGGGCGAGCTCCTCACACAGTCCAATGAAAGTGGCTTTTCCCATCCGAAAGTTCTGCAGCCACTGCTCGTCATCCCAGACTTCCATAACGATGTGATCCCACCACTCGGTGCTTGTTTCCCGAGCCCAAAAGCGGCGTTCCACGGTGCTGAGCATGTCCGTGAATGCCACAAGCAATTTCGTGTCATACGCGTTACACGGCTCGATAGCATCGTCGGACTCCTCACTCTCACTTTGGATCTTAAGGAATAGTTCAACAGCCAAACGGGACGTGCTGGTGAGGCTCGTCAGCATACACCTCAGCAGTTCGGGCTCCATTTCCCGCAGACAGATTGTGCTGCACAGAAACCGTTGAAAGATGGTGGCAAAGGTGGATGGAAACAAAGAGATTTCTGGGATGCGAAGCGATGCATCACGGGGCGTTGGGACAGGACCCAGAATGCCCCGCACCTACGCCCCCTTCCGACAACCCACGGCGCCAGAATGGGAAGAGGTGCTCTGTGGGATAGCTGCCCATAATGCACCGCTCCCAATAGTGCTGCAATTGCCGCAAATGTGGCCATGACAGTGCGCTGGGCAGCTCTCAGTGTGGACAGACTGCATTGCTTTCTCTACTCAGCTGCACGAAGTCAGGTTTAACTCACAGCGCTGTACATGTGCAAGTGTAGCCAAGGCCTCAGCCTGCGGTGACCTGTTCTCCTTCCACCACCGCAGCAGGAGATATTTTGGTGGGACAGCCAAAGTGGCCTCCCATGCCTCCTTTCCCTCTGAGTAGCTGATTTCTAGAGCCCAACACGGATACAAAATCTATATCTGTATCTGATCCGCAAACATGGTACATGGCTATAAAGCGGATGTCCGCAGATTTGCAGGGCTCTACTGATTTCATCCAGACAGACTTAGTACAGTCTCTTGCTCCCATCCATTTTAAGGGGCAGAATTTGCTGACAAGAAAGCCAATTGATCGTCCTGCAGGACTGGTGTATAGTGTTGTGGCAGCCTTGTTGGTTCCAGAATATGAGAGAGAGAAGATGGGGGAGGTAATATCTTTTATTGGACCAACTTCTGTTGATGAGAGAGACAAGCTTTTGAGCTTACACAGAGCTCGTCTACTTCCAGTAAAAAAATATTCTCACCTATCTTGTATCTCTCATATTAAACTTGAGTAGGCAGTAAGAAAACATTGGGTCAGTTCTCACAGGAGACTATCCGTGCCTCCCTGAGGGCATGCAAGTTGTCAGGGGTCCTCAATCTTGCCAACTTTTTACCTGTATCACATCAGTTATTGAGAAAGATAACTGTGGCAAATAATTTTTTTTAGAATCTGGGATTCTCAAATCTCCTTGACCCTATTCAGTCTGGGTATGTTAAAGAAAGTGCATTTGCTGATCTAATCACAGAAGAAGATAAGGTATCCACACTTGTTCCTTTATATATGTCACCTATATTTGATACCATTGACTACACTAGAAAATTAGATCAACCCAACTACATAATTCGGGTGTGAAAAATACACTCCCCTGAACAATGTAGTTAAGCCAACCTAAATCCCTGTGTAGAAAGCACCAGATTGATGGAAGAATTCTTCCATTGACCTGGTTACTGCACCTCGGAGAGATGGATTACCTATGCTGATGGCAGAATGTCAGCACAGGTAGTGTCTAAACTGAAGTGCTACAGTGCCAGGACTTGGCTACACTCAGGACTTCCCAGCACTGCCGTGGCAGCGCTGTGAAGCGCGAGTGTAGTCGTGCCGCCAGCGCTGCGAGAGCGGTCTCGCAGCACTGTAAGTACTCCACCTCTCCGAGGGGAATAGCTTGCAGTGCTGCGAGCGAGCGTGCAGTGCTGCAGGCTCTGAGTACACTGGTGCTTTACAGCGCTGTACTCGCTGCACTCGGGGGAGGGCGTTTTCACACCCCTAAGCGCAGCAAGTTGCAGCGCTGTACAGCGCCAGTGTAGCCAAGGCCTCACTGTAGGGTTTCAAGAGTAGACAAGCCCTGTATGTTAGAATAAGGGTTAATTGAATCATTTTTCAGTGGCTCTACTCCTTCCTTTCAAGTCAAACACTGTAAATGTACTTGCAAGGATCAAGAAGGAGTCCCACCCTATTGTGAAGTATAGGTGAACTAGAATACATTGCAATGGACAGACCTTGATATAATAAGCATTATGGAAACTTGGTGGCATGACAAAAAATAACAGGATACTGTAATACTTGGTTACAAAGTATACGTGAATGCCAGGCTAGGCCAAAGATGTGTTGGAGGAGTGTTGTAGCTAAAGGATTCCATAAAATCTAGAGAATTAAAAAAGAGAGGGCCACTCACTATGTATCCATTCTGTAGGGTACAAATCCCAAGATGTAAACATATTACCGTAGTACAGCTATACTACCAGCCTCTAGATCAAGAAAAGGAAATTGAATATACCTGTTATGAGAGACCAGATAGGCAACACAATGATAATGAGGCATTTCCAACTACCCACATATCAACCAGTCAAATGACACAACAAGAGAAAGCCTAGAGAAACAATTTCTTGACACTTCAGTGATTGTTTTTTTTGGAGCAGCTAGTTATCGAGTTAATTCAAGAAGTGACAGTATTCTGAGCCACATAATAATTAGATTCAACATCCAAGGAGCATACCCAAAAGTGACACAGTGACATCAAACTTTAGAAAGGAGATTTCAATAAAATGAGGTCACTCAAAAAAGGCCCTGAAGTTAAAATTAAATAAAGTAAAATACTTAAAAAACAAAGAAACAAAGAAACAAAAAATAGAGTTTCAGTAGCCCAGGAGTAAACTAATATTACTAAATGGGAAAGTTTAAGAGGCTATTCAAGCCAAACAGATATCCTTCTAAATTTGGAAATCTGAACCTAGCGAAGCCAATAAACAGCAACAGAAATCATAGCAAGCCACAAGAGGGCAATAAGAAGGATTTTGAGGAGTAAACAGCAAAAGGTGTAAAAACAAACAACAAAAGATTCTTTAAGTACTGTATAGCAAAAATAGGAAGCCTGTGAAAGTGGATCACAATGGCTTAAAGCAAGCCATTGAGGAAGATAGGATATTGCTGAGAAGCTAAATGATTTCTTTGCATCAGTTCACTGAAGAGAATGTTGGAGAGCTTCCTATCCTGAACCTGCTCTTTTCTGGTAAAAGTGAGTTACTCTCTGAGAATGATGTCAGAAGAGGAGGTACTGAAATAAATGCATATTTTAAAAAGTAATAAATCATCAGGGCCAGATGAGTTACATCCAAGAGTTCTGAAAGAGTTAAGTGTGAAGAAAATGAGCTGTTAACACAAATATGCATATTCTCATTTAAAACACCCACTGTTCTAGAGGATTGGAGGGTGGCAAATGCGCTAGGGGAATTATAGACCAGTATGTCCTACATCTGTATCTGAAAAATTGATTGAAATAATAATTAAAAATACCCCCCCCCCCGAAGAGCATGATATGACAGGGTCTAACCAGTATTATTTCTACAAAGAAAAATTACGTCTCACTAGTCTATTAGAATTCTTTGACTGAGTCAAAGTGGTGGACAGAGAACCAGTCAACATAATTTATTTACACTTACAAAAGGCCTTTGATAAGGTCCCATACAAGAGTCAACTAAAAAAGTAGTAGGAGAGGCAACATTTTAATGGATCAAAAACTGTCTAGGAGACAAAGCATAGAGTAGATGGTTAATTTTCATCATGACAAAGATTAACAGTGGAGTGCCTCAAGGTTCTGTACTCAATCCTGTTTAATATATTTATTAATTTCCTGGCAAGGGAAATGGGTAGTGAGGCAGCAAAAGTACTCCACTTTCATGTACTAAAGTTGCTGAGATTTCAGGTAAGAACTATATTTCCATATTTCTCTCTTTATGTTATTTAATCCCCATGTGTAATGGCTTTAAATGTGGTAAAGTGCTTTTTGGCCATGAAATTTTAATTGTTTATTTAAAGCAAATACTATAAAAAGAGTATAATAAAAGACTTTTTACAAGATAAAAAGCAGTAAGATAAGTAGAAACAATATTACAAAAGAAAAAAAGTGAATTTTATTGCTGGTGAAATATGCTGAATGAACAATTCTGAAGTCTTCCATTTATTAACAGAAAAGATACAACTGACTGACAAGCTGAGTTCGTTTTTTCCCTGACCTGAAGGATCTAGAGCAGTGGTTACCAAACTTGTTCCGCCACTTGTGCAGGGAAAGCCCCTGGCGGGCCAGGCCGGTTTGTGTACCTGCTGCATCCGCAGGTTCGGCCTATCGCGGCTCCCAGTGGCTGCGGTTCGCTGCTCCAGGCCAATGGGAGCTGCTGGAAGCGGCGGCCAGTACGTCCCTTGGCCCGTGCCGCTTCCAGCAGCTCCCATTGGCCGAACCTGTGGATGTGGCAAGTACACAAACCGGCCCGGCCCGCCTGGGGCTTTCCATGCACAAGCGGCGGAATATGTTTGGGAACCACTGATCTAGCGGTAAGAGGTCACACTCTACGCCTATTCAATCCTGGGCCTATGCTGAGACTGCCAAGAAGGTGCCAAGTCAACGATGCACAGTATAGGCTGGTGGTGAGCAAGAGGATGAATGAGGCATGTTCCTTTCCCCAACTTTTTTTACTACAGTGCACTCCATTTATCAGAATCACGGATATAAGAATCAACCATGTATAGCAGGGATCGGCAACCTTTGGACGCGGCCTGTCAGGGAAATCCGTTGGTGGGCCGGGCCGGTTTGTTTACCTGAAGCGTCCGCGGGTTTGGCCGACTACAGCTCCCACTGGCCATGGTTCGCCGTTCCAGGCCAATGGGGGCTGTGGGAAGCAGCGTCCAGCACATCCCTCGGCCCACGCCGCTTTCCGTAGCCCCCATTGGCCTGGAACGGTGAACCACGGCCAGTGGGAGCTGTGATCGGCCAAACCTGTGGACGCTGCAGGTAAACAAACCGTCCTGGCCTGTCAACGGATTTCCCTGATGGGCCGCGTGCCAAAGGTTGCCGATCCCTGATGTATAGTGATCAAAACCACTGGGATAAAATCATTCCTATACTAACCTATATTCTATTGTAAGAATCAAAACCACTGGGATAAAAACATTCCTATACTAACTTATACTCCGCTTGTAAAAATTAAATCATCCAGGACAGATGTGATTCTTATAAAAGGAGTGCACTGACTGTACCTTGTTGATATTCCCCTGTAATGGTTGTCAGTCTGTCCTACCCCCAATTTCCTTTGTAACTACATGTCTGTGCCTAATAATGACAATTGGCAGGATGTTCTTCAGTAGGACCTCAGACCTGTGGAAACCACTTCCTCTCCAGATCCTTGATAGTTGAGTTTGTTACTCAGAATGTGCTGCAAGGCTCACCTTTTCCCCCTGTAACGTTGCCTGTAAGGTGTTGGGTAGAGCTGGTAGAGATGGGATTCTGAGGCTAGTCTCTGTGTGTGTTTGTGCACATGCAGGGTCGGGGTGGGGGGTTATTAATTTCTATTATATTTATGTATATGTTGGGTTGATTTAGTTTGGGGAAACTGATATGTCTCTCTCTGTGTGTGTATCCATCTATCTAGATATATAGGATTATCAAGACTGACCAATGCACTGGATGGGAGCTCTGGTATTGTTTGTAAACATTCACAGTAAAAAAAAATTGTTAGGCTAGTATTGTGATAAGGATGCCCGATTGCTAGGAACTAGACAAAAACTCCAACCTCATTTCACATGTGCTATCAGAGACTCAGTCAGACACTAGCTAATGGTTGCAGTTCAAATTAGCGTCACAGAGCAGAGGAGAAAGGATCCATTCCCAGACCTCTGAGTCCCTCTCATAAGTCTTTTAATAGTAATAATCATATTCTAAATTCCAACACTTAATTCAAAGAATCATTTATAGCAAGTCTCTTCGTAACCCTGCATAAGGTAGGTGTGCTGGCAGCAGTGCAGCGTTGCCTCCTTCCCCCCATGACCTGACCTTGGGCTGGCAACAGTGCAGTTGCTGATTGTGAGATTACCTTATCTGTTAGTGTACCTCCAACCATGCCCGGACTCTGGGCTGGCAACAGTGGAGTGTCCCGTGCCCCCACCCGTACTCCGGCTAGCAGCGGTGCAACCTCTTCCCTCCCCTCCTGCGTCCGTCCTGTCTCCGCGCCTGCGCGCAGTCAGCAGGCGGAACTAGCTGTTATTCCCCTCCCAGGCGGCAAGTGGCGCTGCACGCCCCGTGCCTCAGCGAGATTTGGTTCTCGCCGCGCGGCAGCGCGCACCGGGACACGCTCACGGATTGCGGAGCGGGCGGCGCCGGCTGAGGAGGTCGGAGGTGTCCCCCCCCTCCCCGGGATGTGGAAGCTGGTGTCAGCGGCAGGGCCCGCGCCTGCCCCAGGTACGGGCTGGCAGCAATGCCGTGTTCCCTACCCCCCAGCCCCTTGGCCTCTGGGCTCCTGCCCGCCCCGCTCCCACCTGGCCCCGCTGCCCTGCGGGATCCGCCCCGGGTACTGGGACCGAGGCCGGCGGGCACGTTGCGTTGAGGGTGGGGCAATGGGGCGGTGCTGACTCAGGGGTCCTGGGCGCAGTACCGGGAACCTCGCCCCCCCCCCCCACGTCACAGGTGCTGGAACTAGGGGCGCTACTGCTGCACCCCTTGGCTTGAAGTGGGTTCTATCAGATACAGGCTTTTCCATGTAGTTCAGTGGCTTTCAGC